GCTATTCATAATCAAAGCACAGGCCTCCAGGGAAAGCAGATGGCATCTTTAATTTTAAATCCTTCATTAATTTAAGCAAATCTGATTAACAAAATGTTCCCCATAGTGGAACAAAGCAGGACCACAGGCTTTAATTCACTTCACATTAGTTAGTGCTGTGATGTACTGAACATTCACCTGGAGGCAATCAAACAATCCTCACACCGCAGAGTGGAAAAAAAAAACTTGGCACACGGTAAGCTTCATCGACCCAAGAGCCAAGCCTTTCCAATTCAGCTCAGCCAGAAGGGAAGGATTCTGTCCCTATACATCGGACAGGTTTACTTTCAATTTTCTTTTTTTCTGGGGAACTTGGGACTTCGGCTTTCTCCTTGACAGAGTAAGTGAAGGGATATTGTGGAAATTAAATTTTGAGTCAAAGAACAGCATTGAAAACAGATTTTTGCTTCTCAACCGATAATAAAATAAAAACTGACAATGTCCTACATTCCAGTGTATGAGCCCAAATCAATTTTTACTCATGTACAAATGTTACCTGTAAGTGTGACTGATCAGTTAAAAATAATTTACATACCAGACTTCATTCCTGCTGTGTTGCTTCAACTAAATTTGGTTTATAATCTGAAATATTTTGCCCCCTTTCCTTTTTACTTATATTATATCAATAATTGTTCACAAGAAGATAACAGTGACAGATTTTAGCTTTTAGGATTGGAAATTAAAAGCTTTATTAGCAGGGTTAATAACCTCTTACTTACTGATGCTTACTTGCAATACTGGGGACTAAGGCTTCACACTCTGATCGGCGGCTGATGTCTGGAATCCTGGCAGCAGTATTATCACCCTGTAGTCTGATCTCATTAGATCTCAGAAGGTGAGATAGGCTTGGCCTAGACAGTACTGGGATAGCAGACCTCTAAGGAAAATCAGGTCTGTTTTAAGTGGTGGACGAGAAGGTGGCACTCTTCTCCCTGAGCCAGAATTTCTAAGCTAGAGCCCCAGCATCTTGTTTTGGGACACTGTGATCCTTTGGATGAGACGTTAACCTGTGTCTACTGACTGTCCATTCCCACGTTTGTATGTTGAACAATGACCTTTAGCAATGCCTCTGAGAGATGTATACCACACAGAAGCAAAATATGCAATAGTGAGTAAATGGAAAGGTGATTAATATGCAGGACATACTTTTAGTTCTTAAGTATGTCTGCTTCACAGGACAGTGTGTGCCTACAGTGATTTGTTTTATAGCACAATAAATTATTCTCCACAGGGCTCAGTCAGGTACACTGTTAACTTTCTAGACTACAGCAACTTGTAAAGGGGAATAAAGCCGATATTTAAAATGACAGAAGACAGTTTACTTGACAGAAAACTAAACTTACTTTCTACGATTTACATGGAAAGTGGATTTATTCTAAACATTTCCACAACAGAAGAATGTTTACAGCAAAATTAAATTTTATTTGGAGAATTTTAATCTGCGGAGTTGCATATCTAATGTTGTTTTATAGTAATAATATATATATATATGTGTATGTAAGTTCATATTTCCCATGCAGTTTAGTGTCAATGTACTATGGAAATGTCAAACTACTCTGTTACTAAAAATAACCTTATGAAAAAGTTTGCAAAATGAAATATACTGTATGATTCTAGATTCTGTCTGGTGAGAATGTCACTGTGATGCTGAGACTCAAAGTCTGATAGTTTTATTTAGAGCAGGGTCTGGCCCAAATCAGCCCTGATTGTTTAATAAAGTATTAAAGTAGTATCTGAATTAACTAAACTGATGGTACAAGGAGAATGTTAACTTTTTCATACAGGGACTTTGGATGTTGGATGATTTTGTTTGATATAAATGCACAAAGCACTGAACGTAAGTATTATTTATTCACTCAGAATGCCTTATATCCCTAGGATATGCAGCTCCACAGCATAAAACCAATCAGCTCCGACCTCCTATTCAAATGCACTGTCTACTGAATGTTTATCAGCATCTACCAAGAAGAGAGAAATCCATATCTAAAATATCATTAAATATAGCAGCCCATCCCTCTTCACTGTGGTTCAACTGTGGTTGATAACATGATAAAGCTCAGAGCAGGCTGCAGGGGTCAATCCTGGCCGACCTGAATCCAGCTAACCCTGGCAGGACTGTGTGGCCAGTCACAATTAATAGCAAAGCCCTGTGCACTCTTTAGACCATACTGTATGACCCAACCCATGTTGTCAACCAAGGTCTGTACTGGTTGAACACCTAAAACTGTAACAGTGGCAAATGTGCAGTTTAATCACTGCTTTCCCTGCTTCACACTAGTAACACAAGGATGTTTGCAGTTCTTCCTGCATCAGACTATTATACCATGACATATCACCGGAAATGTTTGGTACCAGCCTTACATATGGGAAATCACCGTATCGTCATTGTCTACTGGACTAAACCACAATAAGCCTATAAAACCATAGAGAAGACTAGTTTTTACCTCAATAAATCAGCATTAATAGCAGAGGAAGTGCATAGTGAAAAAGCAGACTGATGATGACATTCTTTCAGAAGCACTGAAGTATACATTGGGAGCACACTGCTAGGCAGATCACAACCTGCATGGTTTTTTTTGTGTGTCTCAAAAGTTCATCCTATCATGGCCATACTAGACAAAATGACAAAAATATTGTATGTGTAGCACTTACCCTTTTCTTAATTTAATCTGCAGAGTGTTTTAGTAATTCCATTTGTTTAGGACACAATGCCTTCATTTTTACCTGTTTTGTGTAACTGCCAGGTTTAACACCTCCATTCTGATCCACAGCTCTACCTAATCCAATTCTTAAAAGGCGTGTTGCTCATCTATAACGACACTTGTTAATCGATCACAACCATGGTTCTTCTTGCATGGAAATATACTTGGTGAAGTCTAGCTTTACATAATCACAGAAAATGTTAATATCTACTTCTCAGAAAACACAGTATTCACTGGAAAAAATAGCATTCACATTGAGTAGCTAGGACGGAATAAATGCATGTTTGCAATGCTTTTTAACAAGTTCAAAGTCTTATAATGCCAAGACAAGCTCCTACAGCAAACCATAAAACAGTCTACCACAGAAGAGCTGTGTAGAAAAGGGCACAGGGTCTGACATTGCCAGGCAGACACAAACCAGAGAGAGATATAAAAGATAATCTGGAGATAAGCCAGGGGCCTGTGATATCTTATTGAGCCAGACACCACTAAGCACAGCTGATTTTCTGGTCACTGCTGGAGTGCTTCTGATTAATAAGGTTATCATCAACAACACAGCGTCTACTCACTTTGAGGAGATGTTTTGAAAAACAAAGCAATAATAATTATAATAATTTAAAAACTGCCCAATTTTTTTAAAACTGTACAGGTTTTGTGTTGTCTTACAGGAAATAATATTTGATATTTGTACTTCTGAGTTGCATTGCAATATTTAAAATGAAGAAAGTATTGAGTTCACTACAGAATCTAATCTAATAACATGCACTTGCCACACAGCCATGATGAAACGGAGGAAGATTGTGTGATCAAATGTCAGTCAAGATGTCAAGAAGCTACCGTGGTTTAAAATAAACCTGGAAAACAAAGCTGCCACTGTGAACTGTCACAGGGAATGAGAGATATTTAGGGAAGGATACATGTGCCCTGTGGACACTTTGCAAAATTAGGGCATAAAATGTATTCTTCCTAAAATATAGTCCAGCCTGTATCCTGCTCTATTCCCTTTGAAGCTGTTGATGCAGTCAGATATATTCTGATGTGCTTGTACACTCTGCTCTTTCGTCAAGTGCTTTGCGATTCTACCTGCGGTCGTGAAGAGTAAGTCACCAATTCCACTCAACATACAGAAGAACACTCTGTGCAATTCGTAGAAACTAACAAGCACCACACCCCCCTAGGCTTGACAGTATGAGCACAGAAAACACTCCCTCCCAGAAACAGCCCTCTCCAGTTGTTTGTGCTGCCAGGAAACACACCATTACTCTTACAATAAAAAAAAAAACTACCAAGGGTGCTTGGATGGAACCTGGATTTTTATTCTCAATCCCATCTAGAGGGCATTCCCTGCCAGTTCCAGAAAATATTGCCAAGACCTGGAATGCTGATTCCCTTTTGGATGAGTGATATCAATGAATATGATCATGATGGTTCCCATGCTTCAGATGTGCAGTGAAGGCATTTAGGTCATACAAACATTTTAAAATGTTTTAAGACTCCACATAGCACTTCTTATCATCCTGGTCTTGGTTTCGTAGGACATCACTACTGTGCACAAAACCAGCTAAAGCAAATACCATTTTGATATTCACAGATGACAGCCATTCTACTTCATAGTATCTGAGATGCACTGATTGGATAATGCCTTTCATGTGCTAAAAATCCAGGTACTTTACAAATGCCCTTCGTAGTTCACTAACAGTGGCTGTGTTTGCAATGTCTGCTATGGATCTTTCCAGGTCTGGAGAAAACCTTTTTCACTCCTTAACACTGAAGTCAAGTGTGCTGGTATCAGAGAGGACTGCACATCAAAAGATTGGATTTAGTGACCCCTGTCTACAATTGCAAACAGTACCAGTGTCAGTTTATATGAATCAAACAATGCAAGATGAATCCTTAGTGAAATAATCTTAAATAGTAGCTCTGTGATCAAATATTCTTCAGTACTACAACACAATTCCTGTTTATCTAGGACCCAGGATTATCCAAGTCATTTGCAATGTTTGTTTCATTCCTGCTTCAACTTTATTTCAAAATCAGCAAAGGACACAAGCACAGAACAGAAGCTCATGGGATGCAGATACAGCAGGAATGTGGTCAATTACAATGATGGCTGGCCAGTGGAAGATAAAGGTTTGATGTTGCTGTACTGTAATTTACCATAACCCCTTTAGCACAGCATGTTGGAGGGAACTGATGACCAACATCCTGCAGTTGAAAAGGAAGCAGAGAGACAGAAAACCTGTCCGGTTCAAGACTCACCCCAGGCTCGGCCCCGTTTCTCCTCTCTGTCCTCTGTGTCTCCACCGGGTTCTCTGTAGGGGGGAGGAAGCCGCATTGGTGGAGGGACGCCTGTTGGAGGTGATTTCTGTGACGAGGAAGAAAAAAAAATTGATGGGCAGAGGCAAAAGAGGAACAGGTTTACTACAGGTACAGCCCCCTCCTGAAAGAAGCCATGGTATTGGCTTAAAAAACACAACTCCCACTACTCTTGGTGCAAAAAAGTGCCTCTGCTATCAGTCATAAATACACTTCCATGAATTTTTCAGTCGTGTCTTGTGGTTTGTGCTGCTGTTTATGATCATGAAAATGAAATCAGATAGAAAGTTTCCCAGTCTTCATTGTTGTCAAAGGTTTTATTAAAAAATTTTACTTGTGGGTTCTAAAGTCTCCCATTTTGGAATTATCTTCAACTTTGACACAGTCCAGAGTGTGACCTGCCTTATGCTAATCTGTTGAGTGATGGTTCGGAGTGCTGCACTTATAAGTAGTTATTGAAATTGGTGAATGTGGCAGTGATCCTAGTACAGATCTCTGCGGTACTCCACTAAATATATCAGCCATTCTGAGTTATAAGCCCAATCAGAGCATTCTCCCCCTATGTGAACACTCTGTAGGGATTATTAACCAGTACCAGGGAACCCATTAACCAGCCCTTGGTCATTGTACAAACATTACCTTGAATATTTATCAGGTACAAGTTAAGAATTGGGATGCTTATCTTTTATGAGGAGCATTCTCAAAGCCTTCTGAAAATGTAAGTTGAAAGAGGTCTAGTTAGTTAAGCAAGACCTCCCTTTTCCAAATCCATGTTGACTATCCAAAAATCTTATAGCCATATTAGCCATATTAATGATTCTCTAGGTTAGAGCTAATATTGTCCATAACCTAACGGCTTTAATTCCACACAAGACCAGAAGCTTTGTGCTTTTGACACAAAAGTCAGGATTCTCTGCTTCTATTCACCTACTTATTAAGTGCAAATGCTTCAATGGACTCATTTCTAATAATAAGAGTGTCATTTGATGTTAATTCCTGCCTGGGATACAGCTCTACATCCTCAGCTAAGATTTTTCCCTTATTAAAAAGCCAGTCTCTCCCTATGAACACAGTTCTGGGTGGAGTCACTGTAAATGTTATGAGACCTGCAAGAGCAAGTGGTAACTAAGATCCCTACCGAATTAAATAATTCAATATACAGAGCATGAATTCTGATCTCTGCAAATGATTAACTTTGCTATTGCAAAAAACATTTCTCTATTGACAAAAATCTTTCATCAGTCACATTACATATATTGACAGGAAGACAGAAGAAACACAAAAAGACTTTGAATAATCTAATTAAAAATATCAGGAATTTCACATCTGATTTAAAAAAATGTTTTTCATTGCACAAAAACAGGGCTTTCTATCAGTTTACATACGAAGGCTCAATAACTACAGACAACAGCAGTTATTGAATGTGAGCTAATTACATACTGTACAAAATCATTCAAAAACCTGTTTAATCAAGGTAATGAAAACAACCTTAAGATTCAATAAATGAATGAAAATAAACGGGAGTAACAGAAGTCATTGATAAAACATACAGTAGGAACACGCACATACAGTAGTTTAAGAGATGCATATAGGACACAGCTTAACATAATTGTAACACGTAAAAGTATTAGATGTTAAATATATGCAGTACAAAGTAATTTTTAAATGTTCAACACACTAGTTGGGTTTTGTATGTTTGGCTTGTCTTTAAATTACTAAATGAACTGTCTGTTTGTTGTTCTGCTTTTGATGAATGACAAGTCAGTTTGTTTTGCAAAGAAATACTTAAATGTTGCTTCTGTATTCCTGGGATGCTTCCAGGATTTGGACTTTTTAAGCGGAACTACAGTATCTAGCAATTTGGCGAGGACACCCACACCAGCCTTGTCAGCCAGAATTAGTCTCTTCCCAAAGTATCTTTATGTAGCAGCACAAAGGAGAAAGATGCTTCATACTGCCAAAACACACAGCCATTCCCTCTGACCCCTTTAACGTACAATCACAGAGCTGTTCAGACGTCAGCACTGCTAATCTGCATCTGTAGCCAGAATCAAAGAAACTCTGTGTGTGAAGCCTGCTATCAGCCATCCAGCAGCATTTATTAATCGAGCTGGCTGAGTGCAACACCACTATCCAGCTTGCAATCACAGCCTGCTGTGCAATGGCATGAATTAAATCCCATTACGGAGAAATACGAGGTGCAGAGCAGACGTGTAGCTTTAAAAGAGCAATACAGACTCATTATGATCCCGGGGACGAGAGCTCTGGCACCCCATTATGCTGGCTGCAGCCTTGGCACTATAATCTCATTACCTCTTAAAAGGATAGTGTGTGCAGGTCTGTTTTGGGGGGGGGTTGTCTTCGAAAGGTCCAGAAAATGACAGCATTGCTCTGAGATGAGCAGGAGTAATTAAGCCGCTAGAGAAGGGAGCATAAGAAATACAGCGCTGTGTGCAGCAGTTGACAGCTAAGAAGATGAACATCACTGAGAACCACGCATTCCTGCATTCTGAGTTATAATCAGCCACACCCACACACTGTAAACTATGAGCTGCTGAGCGCTGGGATAACCCTGAGCAAAAACAAGCCTGTTCCAAGGGAAGCAAAAGCACAAGACACTATGTTGCATACAGTATTATGATGGAAACAAAAGGTGTCCCTCAAGCCTTGATTATAAACAGCAGCCTCTACCTCTGTAAATCTTGAACTCTCTTCACACTCTGTGCCCTCCAGAATTATACCCCCGATGAAACAGGACCAAAAAAACCATAACAGAAAGCTTTATTGTTAAAAATATACTGTAAGCTTAGCCTTGCACAGAACAAAGTCATATTTGTCATAACTGAAATCGAGAAAATATGAGGCTTATATACAAGAACACTTCTGTAGTTTGTCTATTGTAAATACAACTCTGACATGGATTACAAGCACAAGGTGTTACAAGTTCTTCCGAGGGGTGATTTGACCATTCCTGCAAGCAGAATTGCTCTCAATCCTCCAGACACCTTGATTTCATTAGTGGACTGCTTTCTTGAGTTAGAACCAGAAAAGTTCAATTGGAATGACATCCGGAGACTGAGATGGCCACCTGATAACTATGAAAAGCTGACCATTTCATTATCGATTTGGCCGTACGGTATGCTTTGGATCACTGTCGGAGTTTAGACGCCCCCTCACTTAAGGAAAGTTACCGAACCCCACCATATTTCACAGCAGGCATGAGTTTCTAACATTGAGCTCTTCCTCTTTTTTAACCAGTTGAGCATGTCCAAAAAGCTCTATTCTCATAAGACATGATTCCCGTTACCATTCAGGCATAGTCTGGCAATTTCAAAGCGCCCTCTTTCTGTGGCTTGTTCTATTCAACCTAGCCATGAATGCTAAATTCATGCTGGGAATGTGGAATCATAGTTTTTCACAGTTTGTGGCCTGAAGATGCCACTTTGTGTCAGAAATCTCCTACTGCTGCCTGGATTTGTGGCTGCCTCCCAAATTTGTCTCTCAGACTGTGATGGGAAGCTACACTTCTATCTTATCAGTTCCCAAAATACCAGTAAGCCTACATTTGTTAAGAATGGACAACAGAGTGAATTCATCTTTTTGTGTGCTGTCCTTAACCATGATGATGCCTGCTGCTATTTTTTGTTACCTCCATTTTTACCCCACAGGAACAGGAAACCTTTAGAGATCTACATATTGTTCCCAGGGCTTGTAAATCAGAAAGTGACTTAGTGTTTCTTGAGTGTTTCTTTCTTTATATATTTCACAAATCTGTGGATTTATTTGTGCTGGATTAAATTCAAAGGAACAGTTGGAAGTATGAAAAAGGCCACTTTCCATTGCTTTAATGTAAAAACATGAATTGAGAATTGTTTTAAAAGAGGGAACTGAAATTGACACCAACTCTGGCAAGTTCATTATTGTTACACCTGAGGTACCCTCCATCTTACTCCTTTCTCTCAGCCACATTGCACACAGGCTACCAGCAGCACTGCCACACTTATAGCTCAAACCTGGTGTGTGAAGTTGCCCACCAATGAGAAATGGGAGGTAATAATCAGAGTGAGATCTTTGATTGATTGGCAACTTGGAATACCTTAATCTACCTTCCTATCTTCTTGTACTCTGGTTTCTGTACGCTTCATGCTAGTTAATGTTTTCTACAGTTTCACCCCCACTGTCCTTTTAATCAAACCTTTTCAATGTAAATGTGAAGTTCCTGACTCAACCTGCGTATGTTAGAATGTAACATCCATATACAACAGAGTTTTCAACAGAGACATTTTCTTTAATGAGTTTTTGTTCTTGCTTATTTATAAACTGTGTCAAGTAAGGAATAAAGGTATATTTAGTCCTAATTTAGGAGTGACTTCAAACAGAACTGTGGTGGGAGTAATTACTGCACACAAAAAAACACTTAATAAAGTGATGTAAACACAGTGTTCTAATGCAATAAGCAAGCGATATTTGGTTTATTGTGCATTGCAATAAATATTGATACATTTTTAAAATGAGCTACAAAAGGCTTGGACCAAAACTAATTGCATTTAATTGGATGCCACTGCAAATATGAGCTAGGAATTTATTTATCCACCTGAACAAATACATGCTAACAATGCTTAAAATGCCAGGCTCACAGCGTTCTAAATTTGAATTTAGATTTTAAATTGCAACTCAGGAATAAGTACATCTTGAAATTAAGGGCATAATACATAATGTTTATATAAGACAAATGTGTGTGAGTGAGAATGTCACAAACTCACAAACCTTTTTGGCTCTGAATCACATGTGATCGCATAGAAACAAATGGGCATGGCATATCATACCCACATGAGTACAGTGCCAAGACAAACTGAAGATAGTGGTAGATATGTCACCCACAGAGCTCTAGCAGGATTGAGCGAGTGTCCTACTGTCTTTACAACTAAACTCATCACAGGACTGAAGTCTTCAAATTATGAGAACAGGACAGCTACTGTCTCTGTTAAAATGGAATAATTCCATGAGAAGAGGTCTTCAATGGGTTAAGCAGATGTTTAACCCACAGGG